TTATGCTGCATCGATGCACTAAGGATTTTATGGAAACATCGAATGCATTTTATGCATCGATGCACAAACCATACATCGATGCACTCAGGCTTGTTTGAAACATCGAATGCATTTTATGCATCGATGCACCCTTAGTGCACCGATGCATTAAGTGTTCCAACGGTCGAAATATTTAAATTTTACACTTGATGCATCGATGCACCTTGACTATGTATCGATGCACACATGCTCCCAACTGATTTTATTAATTGTTTTCACACAATAACAACTCTATTAACTCCACTAATGATCCCCAATGTTCAAAAATGATCCAAGGAGTATTTAAACAAGCTTAGAAGCCATTGATCGATTAACAAGAAACAATATGTCGAAACGATTTTTTTCTTAAGAGCGAGATTTCGAAAACAACACCATTTTTAATTATCTCCCTTAATTGATTGATTTTTAATTAAAAAATATGTGATTTAAAAAAAACCTCTCGTTTCGAAAAATTTGGGATTCCTTTTTAAAATAAAACATGTGGTTCGAGGAGTCGCCACCAATCTTTGATTAAGGTGTGATTGGGCACCCAAAAACGTTGTCATTTTAAATAAAAAATAATTTTAATTAAAACAACAAATTGAGGTATGCGTTATCAAAATCTGAGTTCGGGAGTCGATTACACGTGGGAAGGATTAGCACCCCACAACGCCCTAAATCGGTACCTAGTCGATTAATTAATGTCTTTACAACGAAATTTACAAATTCAAATTTAAATTGATTTATGATCCCTTAAAACAACAATTGCGAATTTTATAACATTTAAAAGCAACGAAATATGTTAAATTAAAATTACCAAACCATTAAAAAGATAAAGAATATTCGATTATTTAAAAATATTGAGACCAGATCTTTAGGTCAATTCTAACGACCTTTTCTCAATAAATTTAAATAGCCGAACATTTCTTTTTCTTTCGTTACCAAACTTTAAAGTGATGAATCAATTTTTAGATGTCACTAATGAGATACACTTTTAATTTAAAATTGTCAAAAGCGGATCTCTAATCAGTTAAGACAACCCACTTAAAACAATTTTAAATTAAATGTATATTACCCTTAATCCAATTATGTAATTTTGTCGAGTTATGCAAACTAATGTCATGTAATATTGGAAGTGAAACAATTGTATACTCGAACGTACATAAACACGTAAATATACAAGAACAAATGTTTACAGCTAATTTGAAAAAATACCTATACATATCCCATGAATTAGTATGTGTGAACTTTATATATTATTTTAGACATGCTTATGAGGGAATTGTATTTTAGAATCTAAAACTACATGCGATTAAAATTATAAGGTAGCAATAAATCTACATGATTTTATACTAATTAAAATAATATGGAGATTAGAAAAAGAAAAGAAAAGAATGCATTGTATATAAACTACCATAAACAAAGTCTAGTACATATATACATATAAATATACATTACAAATTATGCACAACATATATGCTAATATACTACTGCACGTATATATATATACCCTAATGCACGTAAAAAAACCTAATATGTGCTAATACACCGATGGATTAAAATGCAATTTAACCAAATTTAAAGTACTAGAACCAACATCAACCCCAAACATGTATAGGATTAAAATTATAGTAAACCCTAAACTTACACAAGACCAAAATGAAAACCAAGAAAAAAACATGCTTAATATGCAACATCATGGAAACTTAAACAACGTAATCCCAGGACTAAAAAAATAACATTTGGAAATTGAAGTTCTAAATGTGTAAACGAAAGAAAATAAATATATTAGGATGAAAATCAAATACGCGTAAAATATAAAGACCAAATTAAAACTTAAAAGACTCGATTTGAGGACTAACATGGAATACACGTCAACTTAGGAACCATAAACAGAAACTTCAGAAATTAATTTAAGGACCAAAGCGCAATCTCTTAAAACTCAAAGGGACCACACGCTTGATTTCCCTCACCTCTCATGACACTATCGTTTTTACCCTTAACTTTAAGTATTTAACTTAAATTTTTTTGTTTCATTTCATAATTAAACCCTAAAAATTAACTACATCCCCTTTCAGCCGCATCTCCAAATCTCTCCACACTCTCTGTTTGCAAGCTCTGGCCGAAACCTTTGCCAAACCGTCGCCACCATGCCTCCATCTTTCCCCTGCTCCGGTCACCACATCAGCGCCGGGACTCACGACCACTCTCTTATCTTCTTCTTTGATCGAAACCAAGAGTCACCATCGCGTCAAAACCCAGCAGAACAACGCCGACCACACCTCCTTGGTGGTTGTTTTTCACTCTGATCGTCAACTTCCTAATGAAAATCAAACCTACCCAAACAAATTAGCTCTCCTTTCACTCGATCACTGCCACAAAGACCACGGTTGATGCCCCTAAATGCCCTATATGGGCACGATACACCTCCTTGACCACCACCATGGTGGTTACTTGTGGTGAAGGACCCGAACCGATGAGGTAATCACTTCACTTTTTTCGTTCCTTCGTTTTGTTTTCTTCGATTTCTCTCTGGGTATTCTCTCATTTTTTTCTTGCCTATCTCAACACATGGCAGTGCTCCTCATCTCAAAAAGACAACGCTCGGCCACCGTTCACTGGTGACACCTGCTCACCTACATTCTAACACTCAGACCGGTTCTTAAATCTAACATGCAAAGGCTGAAACACCACACAAACCCCAACACTCCTATGACGAAACCGAATCAAAAGGTAAGTCTAATTGCTTATTTCTATTTCATCTTTATTAATTCGAGCATGCTTTGAATAATAATGGTAAAGTTACTGCTGAAATATAAACATGGTTAAATACCGAAAAAAGATTATTTTACTGCTGGTATGTTGTTTGTCTTGGCTGCTGTCGTTGGATTGATAATGGAAATGATATATTGCCTTCGTTTTCTGTTGTTGATGAACCCCTCTCATTTGCTGTTTTTCTTCGACTTTGTTACAAAAAAAAAACATGCATATACCTAACACATACTGGGAATCAAAAAGAATCCGAAGAACACCTCAAAATTAATTTTCATTACTTTCGAATAAAATCGGGAAGACCCCTGTTACACTTCCTTGACTCCAGAATACAAGAGAGTTTACACTCACTGTTTTTTATTTATCCCTCTGTTTTTTTCCCCCGGTGTTGATGATCATCCTCTGTTTATTTCTTATCTTCCACCGAATTTTGCTTGTCCTTCAATGTTAATTTCCTTGTATTTGGTAAGATAATGATGTGTTTAGGTAAGATATTGACTTTGGTTTTTTGATTTTGTTATTTGGCAGATTTCGGTGATGGCTTTTGTTTCACATTATTCGGCCACTGTTGATGATGACAATTTTTAATGGTGGCGTGATTGGCGCGAGTATGGGAGACTTGAACATGTGGAGGCATGGGCTTTGTAATGACTTGAACCGGGTCAAGTTGCTGAGTCGGATCGGGGCTCCAATTAGTCGAGTTTATACTTTGTAATTCGTGTCCCCGAGTCTGATGATTTGAAAAGCCTGTAATAAATAAAAATTAACAGTATTAATAATATTAATAATTATTATATCCCAGACAAAACGAGTTTCTACACAAGAATCAAGAGATAATAAAAAAGAAAACATCAAACCTCAAGTTTGAGCATTTTCAAGTTTATTTCATTCAATATTCATTTTTGCTTTCAAGAACACTTATTGTGCAAAATTGTATTATTCTTGAGTGCTCTTTCTTTGTTCTAGAATTGTGCAAACATATTTTCTTGTGAGGATTTTCTTGTAAGTTTGCAAAATTTGTATTGCTCTCTTTGGGAGAGAGTGTTCTCAAGAATTTGGGGTATAATTCTTAAGGGATTTGTAAGGTTATTTTTTGTCCTCAAAAGAAAGACAAATTAGTGAATTTGTCGAAAATCCTTAGTGTTGATAGCTAAGGTAGTAGACAGTTAAGGTAGTGGACGTAGTCATTGGTTGAGAAAGTCGAATCACTCTAAATCGTTGTGCAAATATTTTCAATTTTTTGCAAAAGCTTCCACCTAAATTTTTATTGCCAATTCACCCCCTCTTGACCAATTCCATCGATCGATTAACTCAACATCTTGGATGTCTAAAAATTTTTAAAAAAATTATCTCTCAATATTTTTATGATATTGAGAGAGCGATTTGAGATATTTTTGGGTTTTATAGTGGGAGAGAGATTTGAGATACTCTAAGTTTTAATATAGATGTTAAATTTTAAAATACATGAGATATCATATATTTGTATCATTTTGTTCTCTACGTTTGTAATGGATTATTATTATTTTCATCCGTAGAGATAAGATAGACTAACTCACGTTAAATCTTATCTCTTTTATGATTTTTTTAATTTATTGTCGCTTTGTTTTTTTTCCGCTTATAAATTCTTAACACAAACTATTTCTCACCTAACTTCCCTAAATCGAGAGCAACACCTTTAGGTGAGGTTCTTTCCCTATGTATTTCGATTTTAATATTTGCACTCATGGATGATCTTTCTTCAATATTAGATTGAAAGCAATTTTTCATTAAGAAAATGCCTCGTTATTTTGATCTTATAATTTTATTCTTATGCGAACTAGATGACCTCAATGGTCAAGAGATATGATAAAATTTGATCCCATAATAGTCTGAGTTGAATGTTAATATGATGACTGAGATATGATAAAATTTAATTCCATAATCTAAAAAAACTATCATATCTCAGTCAATAAGTTAACATTCAATTCAGAATGATGTTAATTTTTAATGAAAAGGGACGAGTTTGGAACAAACTAAATAGTCGGGTGACTATTTTGTAACTTTTAATAGTCGGGTGACTCAACCAAGCAACACCCTATAGTCGAAGAGTCATTTTATAACTTTTAATAGTCAAACCACTCAACAAAACATCACCCTATAGTCGAGAGACTATTTGTGTACTTTACCCCCAATATCTATGCATATATCAATAATATCTAAAAGAAAACCCAGAATTTAAAACAAAAATGGAATCATAGACTTAACATTGTGGGGAAAATCTTCAAACTTTGAAAGGTACCATCTCCTAGTGGCATAACTTCTACCCAGCAAGTAACAGGTGGTGCCCATCGCATATGCAAATGAAAACAAAGTCTGGGAAATGAAAGCAAATCCCCAGAACCCTAAAACCTCAAACAAGTAGTGAGGGCAAACCACGAATCCGAACAAACCCCCCTTTGGGATCTTGTATTCCTTGTTGCCACCTTCGTTCCTCAGTTTAGAAAGAAGGAAATGATGGTAGAAATTGCCACTGATCCCTATGAAAAACAAGAGAATCCCAGGACTTTTCAAATCGATTTCAGGCTCTTGAAGCCCCGTTGTTGAGTGTTGGTTAAAGATCATGAGCGCACTGGAAATGAAATAACTTGAAAGTATTGTCATCATCGTTTCCACACCCATTTCTCCACTGTATTTATGAACAAAACATGACTGCAAAAAAGGGTTAATTGTATCACGTTCCTCAAATTATGATTCTCAATTTAAATTAGTCTCTAAACTTTTAAATATTCTAATTTTATCCTTAAACTATGACTATCATTCTAAATTGGTTTAATGTAAAAATAAGTTTTCAAACTATATCTAAAGTTAACTTTAGGTGTCTAAAGAATTTTTCGTTTAAAATATGTGTCTAACGTTTCTAATGTTACACTTTTAGATTTCTAGACCCTTAACACTGTTAAATTCGACCGTTAAGTGACACGTGTCAGCATATAAAATTTCAAAAAATTCAAATAATTTTTTTATAAGTTTGAAACATGTCACTTATCAGCTAAATTGAACGGCGTGCATCTAAAAGAGTAACATCAAAAAAATTATACACATATTTTAAACAAAAAATTCTTTACGCACTTAAAGTTAACTTTGGGTATAGTTTGAGCACTTATTTTTACATTAGGACTTCTAAATTAGTCCCTAAACTTTTAAACATTTCAATTTCATCCCCAAACTAAGACCTTCATTCTAAATTAATTCTCAAATGTTTTGAACATTTTAATTTCATCCCAAACTTTACGTATATACTAATCACATCCCTTGTTAATAAAATCGTTAGGGCAAATTATATTATTATATGTTTTAAAAAATAAAACTTAGGTTAAACTATATTGAAAGTAATTATATATTTTGATGAACTTAGGATGAAATTGGAAGAATCAAAAGTTTGGGACCAATTTAAAATGAAGGTCATAGTTTGAGGATGAAATTGGAATGCTCAAAGTTTTTAAGGACTGATTTAGTACTAGAGTCATAGTTTGCTGATGAAATTAAAGTAGAGTTAATTGTATCACATGTCCTCAAAGTATGACTTATTTTAAATTAGTCCCTAAACTTTTAAATATTTCAATTTCATCCCTAAACTATGATTATCATTCTAAATTAGTCTTCAAAGTTTTAAGCATTTCAATTTCATCCCCAAACTATGACATTCATTCTAAATTGGTGTCCAAACTTTTTGAACATTTCAATTTTATCCCAAACGGTACGTATATACTAACTGCATCCCTTGTTAATAAAAATCACTAGGCCAAGTTATATTTATTATATATTAGAAAAAAATAAAATTTAGGTTAAACTATGGTTGAAACTAATTACATATTTGAATGAATTTGATAATGAAATTAGGAGATTCATAAGTTCGGGAACCAATTTAGAAGGTAATAGTTTAAGGATAAAATTAGAATGTACAAAAGTTTAAGGACTAATTTAGAATAATATTCATAATATGGGGATAAAATTGAAATATTCAAAAGTTTAAAGATCAATTTAAAATGAAAGTTATAGTTTGGGGATATATATGCAATTAACCCATTAAAATATTTAAAAGTTAAATGATCGATTTAAAATGAAATCATAATTTAGAAACATGGTATAAAATTAACTTGAAAAAAAGAGAGCATAATTTAAGTTAATATTTGTTGTTCTTCCAATTCCAACTTGGTTTATGATTTAGGAGAGAAAGCGACTGAGTTTACCTCGAAAACTCTCTTGAAGAAATGGATGGAAATGGCGGATTTGAGCAACAAAAACCTGAGATTCTCTTCTGGGAAAATCGCAAACGAAGAAACCCCAGCGAGAAAAGCCGGTGTATAAAGCGTGGCCATGGCGATTCTACTCGGCAGCGTTAACTTGTTCGATTTCTCTGCATCGGAAGCTTTTGAACAAAAAAACTTAGAATATTCAACGTTCTTCCCTCTAAATTCCGATAACCCAGCACTCGCCATTAACGTGAAAGATGCCAGAGACGTTGCAGTGACGAACGGATATGGAAGAAACATAAATTTCAACAACGCCATTGTTTTTCTTCCAAAGATTTTGTTTGGCAGTAAAAATCTTATGTTTTCAAGAGAAGATGATGCATTTTCGATGAATTGAAACCGCCAATTTCGCCATTTGAATGGCAATGTATGTTGGCTGGTGCAAGAGTTTTGGTTAAACTGCCTGAACTATAGGACTAAAAGTAAATGGTATTAAATACTGACTTAACCCTCAAAGTTATGTACTTTTGTCAATTTGGTAACTAAAATAATTTATGAACAAATTGATACTTGAATTATAAGTGTACACAGAAAAGTCACAAAAACTCGATTACATATAATCTGGAGTAAATACAAAGTAATATATGTTCAAAGATAATTCTCAATCATTTATAACATTAAACGCTTGTAACCTTGACATTTTTGGTACTTAAACCCGGGACTTCAAGGAACAACAGTAATTCCTTTACCACCGAAATAACAAAGGTTCGTGCATAAAAAATTCTTTAAATGTTTTATATTTGACAATCAATTTCAACATTAATAAAAAAAATAATTAATAAATAATTATATATATACGTGTATTAAATTAAAACCCAATTAAAATTAAGGGTAAAGATACAAATGGTCCTTCGATTATAGGGAAATGCTTTATTGAGTCCCTTTACTATTAAAAGTTATAAAATGGTCCTCCGACTATATGACGTTTCTTTGTTGAGTCCCTCTACTATTAAAAATTACAAAATTATCACCCGACTATTAATATGTTCCAAACTCGTCATTTTTTGATAAAAAAATTTACGTTCGTCTGTACTAGACGTTGACATACTGACTGAGTTATGATAATCGTTTGAGATTCTAGGATCGGATTTTAGCATATTTGAGTTAGCAGGTTAACATCCAGTTCAGACTACTGTCAAATTTTTAACCAAAAAGGATGAGTTTAGAACATATGAATAGTTAGGTGGCCATTTTGTAACTTTTAATAATCTAGGGACACAACAAAGCAACACCTATAATCAAAGGATCATTTTGTAACTTTTAATAATCAGAAGACTCAACAAAATAATGCTCTATAATCGAGGGACCATATATATACTTTACCCTTAAAATTAAATAATTGAGGATAAAAATATAATTTCCAAAGTGATTTTTCACGGTAAAAGCTAGAAATTTGAGGTTAGGTTGAGAATCATTTTTCCAACTATGATTTTAAATCAACAGGAGCATTCCTAAACTAGTTAGGGGTTGTTTGTTTGTTTCAGAATGATTAAGCGCTGAATGATTCAAATATTGAATGATTCAGAGGCTCTGAATGGTTTGACTTTGAATGTGACATGTTGTTTGATAATTGGCTCTGAATGATTCAAAATGTACTTTTGTGCTGAATCATTCAGCACTGTTTTGCTGAATCAGTCAACACTGAATCATTCAGAGGTACGAAACAAACGCGTTGAATGTTGAACGGTTCAGCATTCAGTACTGAATGGTTCCATTAAGAGGCAAACAAACAACCCCTTAGTCAAGAATAAAAGTAAAATTTTATATCAAGAAGATAAAAATTTAAAATTTTTTATATCAACTATGATTTTATTAGTGGATAGTTTTTTTACATTCCTCGACTATGATTTGCGGTTTGTCAGTGATCTTTCAATAACTTGATTCCTTTTTGTGTTTTATTTATTGATGCAGTCAGATCTATTCGTATTTATCTTTTATTCGAGTTTATTTGATTAGGGTTTTTAATATTTTCCTTGTATGATCATTATGTGATCTTAAGTGACCAATTACCTTATATTAATGATTATAAAAAATATCTTAATTATACGTTTAATTTATGATTACAATCATAAACTTTCATTATATTTTGTATATTTTTTATTTTTAATAAAACTAAATGCTTCTGTCAGGAAATTTTTTTTTTGACACATCAACAATTATTACTGATTCTAGTAACACATTGTAATCATCCCCAAACTCCATAGATAAACCAATGAAGTTTAATCCTACAAATAAGTTAATTGTCTCATGTTAAGTCGGCAATACATCCTTGAATACAACGTTTAGTTTATATAAAAAATATATATATACGCATAGTTTTTACCTTTAATCTTGTACTCTTTTGAAGCTAGCAATTAGCTTCAACACTATAAATACTTACTTCCACCTATGGCATTTAATAAGCCTTCCATACCCAGAAAACCAAAACATTAGAGCAACAAAAGCTTGAATCAAATGGCCGTTCATCGTTCATTAGTTATTTTTGCAATCGTTGCTTTGATGGCTCCGGCGATCTCATCGGCAACGGAATATGCAGTCGGCGGCGATGATGGTTGGAAACTAGGAGTTAAGTACGAAGATTGGGCTAAGGACAAGCAGTTCTTTGTTGGAGACACTCTTGGTACACTTTACCACCCCTAACATTTTATTTTTCTTGTATAGATCATATATCTCTCTGACTTGAAAGGTTTATTTGTCTCTAAAATATATCCTTTTTACCATTTTACCTCTAAATTATTTTTTAAATGTTTTAGTCCTTAAACTATCAAAAATTACTTTTATTATTTCATTTTTTAACACCGTTAGAAAAATCCGTCCAATAAGAATGAGCCACATGGTGATTTGATCGATTGGTTTTAATGAAAATGATAAATTATATCTTAAGTCTTTCATATTTTATTTTTGTTCAGATTAATCCCTAAAAAGTTTATTTTTTTTATAATTTAGTCCAATATTATTTCAAAAACCGGTCACTACATGTCATTTACCCTAAAATTAATTTATATATATAATTTAAATTAATTATAAAAAATAATATTTTTAGGGACTAAACTGAACTAAAAATAAATATGAAAGGCTTAACATGACATTTACCCTTTTATTAAAGTTAACCGATCAAAATTATCATGTGTCACACTCTTATTGGTCTTTTTTTATAGTGTTAAAAAAATGGGACAACAGAGATAACATTTATAGTTTATGGGACAAAACGTTACAAAAAAAAACAATTTAGAGGACAAAATGATAAAAAAAATATATTTTAGTGGAGGCAAATGAGTCTTTAAGCCTATATATATTCGATCTAAATATGAATAATTTATCTTTTAATAGTTTGGAGTGAATATAAAATAGTGTCTATAAATATAAAAAAAAACTTAAAATATATGTAAATGCAGTTGCGGATTCACAATATACTTAAGGCGGGCACACCACTTTGAAATTCAAGTTTTCTTCGATTAATTACTTATTTTATTAACGGTATTTACTCTAAAATTTTATTTGTGTCCACCCCATACAAATTTTTTGTATTTTTAACATTGTATAAAAATATTTTTGAATTCGTCACCTTCTATGTGCATATAATGGTTTATGATGTAATGGTAGCTTAAATCTGAAATTCCATTGTAGTACTAAATCATATTTTTTAGGTTATAAATTTAGTTGTGGACAGAAGACTTAATTTATTTACTTTTGTTGTTGCAGTTTTCAAGTACAAGGCTGGATCTCACAATGTTTACAAAGCGACCGGAGATCAATTCAAAAGCTGCACTGTTCCATCAAACAATAGCTTAGGCTCGTTCACCGGAAACGACACGATTAAGTTGGCAACCGCCGGCACCAAATGGTACATTTGCGGCGTCAGTGGCCATTGCGATGGTGGGATGAAGCTTAAGATCACGGTGCTCGACGGTGCCCCAGCTCCGGCTCCCAGCGCAGCTTCAACATTATTTGCCAAAGCCACCGGTTTCCATGTCTTGTTAGGGATGATTTTCGCCATTGCTGCTGTGATCATGGTCTAGTGAAGCTTTTTCATTCGTGGGGGGAAAATAATTTGAATGCTTATTAGCATTTTAAAGAATAAAACAGTTGGATTGGAGATTTTATTTACTGTTAGAACGTTTGAATTAATAAAGTGTTTTTTCATTTATTTTTTACACAAAAACCAAATGATTTTCTATTATTTAATCTGTGTTAACAATTTCTCATTGTGGTGGACTTGTCACATTACAGTTAAATGATATAAATTACGAAAATATTAGTGATTAGATGCGTAATTTATTTGAGATATATTTTTTATTAGTACGGGTAAATATAAAATAATATATATTCAAAGACTCAATCATTTGATATTGAATGCTCTGCATACATAATGTTTGAACCGAAGACCTAAAAAATAATAACAATTTCTTATCCACATGTTCTATTGTATAAGAATAGTTTTTTGGTTCGATCAACCTTTATACTTGAGTGAGAATTAAATTCCACTATATGTCTCTTTATTACGCTAAAACAATTAGGGTAAATTATACATTTAGTACTTAAACTATCAGTTTTAATCCGATTTAGTACTTAAACTTTCAGTTTTTTTTCAAAATCATCGTTTAGTTTTTATTTCATTTTAGTACTTCATTAAAAACTTAACGTTAAGTTTTGAAAAAAATGAAAGTTTAGGTACTAAAACGGATCAAACTGATAGTATAGGTACTAAAACGTATCAAATTGATAGTTTAGGTACTAAATTCATTTTTTTATTAATATGGGGTAAGTACAAGACAATATATGTTCAAAGATAACTCTCAATCATTTGATATTGAGCGCTCATACCCCTGGTATTCTTGGTGCTCGAACCGGGACCTATTCCTTTACCACCGAAGTACTAAAATGAAACAAAAATTAAACGTTAGGTATGGTTTTGAAAAAAAAAATTAAAAGTTTAGGTACTAAAATGAATCAAAATTAATAATTTAGGTACTAAACGTGTAGTTTACCCAAAAAATATTTTAATGTCTTTACCGTATAAAAAACATTTTATTAGATATGATAAAACACTTATAAAATTATCATTATAAAATATTTAAAAAAAAATCTATTTAAAAAGATAACTTAGAAGGCATGCATTTTAGATCAAAGTACAAGTTGAATTCGAGAAATTATCATTATAAAATATTTTAAAAAAAATTAACTTAGAAGGTATGCATTTTAGATCAAAGTACAAGTTGAATTCGAGAATAGATTACGCATAAGAAAGTTTAAAATATCCACACGGTGCTCAAATTGATACATTTTTAAAGAATATGTTGTCTTAGTTTCTAGAAATTTATATATACAAATTAAATTTTAAAATTTAATCCCTTGATTATGAATGAAAATTTAAATCAAAGAAGTGAACTTATTTAAAAGAAAAAAAGATTTATCGAGACTCTTTTAAAGATTTAAAAAGTTAATAAGGATGTCAATTTATTATGTGTAATTAAAAGGGTAAATTAAAATTTAATAACTGAACTTTACTCACTTCTATTTCAGTCACTATACTTTTAATTTTTCAATTAAATCATTAAACTTTTTGTCATTCTACCGTTTTCTTCTTACTCTGTGATGACATGACATTTTCTACCACTCATTTGCATCTTCTTCATTCATTTATCTCAATTCTTCATCACCCATTTGCTGTTCACCAACCTCACACCGATCCTCTCTCATTTCGGCTTCGACGACCATGGTGTTATTCGCCACCACAGTTCACTCCACCACAACGCAAACCTGCACTTCACTCTGTATGTTTCCATATACCCACCTAAAATCATGACTCAAATCCTTCGTAAATATAAATATAAACAACTGGTAAACAATCTTTTACACATGAAGCCAAGTATTCACAATATCAACAGATTTCAATTTTATATGAATATAAACAATGGGTTAAATTAATGTCAAGACTTGGTTAACTACAAGAAAATCACCATGCCGCATCTATTAAAAACTTTCATAAATTGGAAGCAAAAGAAGCCAAAAGAGGAGATGATTTGGGTTCACTGTTTGGTGATGGCATTACTCAGTCCTGTCTATCGGTAAGTGTAACATGTGATACATCAAAAGACCCTAAAATCTGAAGCCTCACACTTTAAAAAATATATTGATTTTGCTTCTAAGAGCGTTCGAATGATGATACTTTTTAAATAAAATGTCACGAATATAGAGTTGTTTTGTGATATTGTCTTAGGTGGTGTTTGTTTTTACTGTGTAAGGTATGCAAAGCTCTTATGTTTGCGTCGCGCAGACCACGCGCAGACATTGGGCTTCGCAGACCGTTTGTTTTTTAGAAGACAGAAGTTCTTCTAACGTCTGCGCGAGGTCTTCTTGGTACAAACATGGTTTTATGTCTTCAAAGGTCTTCAAACCTCTTCAAAGAAATTAAAATTATTTAAATCTATTTTAAAATTTATTTAAAAATATGGATTGATTTATTTTAAAATATGGAAAAATATATTAAAATATGGATTGATTTATTTAAAAATATGGATTGATTTATTTAAAAATATGGATTGATTTATTTTAAAATATGAAAAAATTTATTTAAAAATATGGATTGATTTATTTTAAAATATGAAAAAATTTATTTTAAAATATGGATTGATTTATTTTAAAATATGGATTGATTTATTTTAAAATATGTATTGATTTATTTTAAAATATGGAAAATTTTATTTTAAAATATGGATTGATTTATTTTAAAAAATTTATTATTGTAGTTGTATGGTTTATTTAAATTTCATTATTATAAAACTAAAATTATTTAAATTTCAGTATTGTAAAACTCTTTTAAGTTTAAAAAATCAGTTTATTTATATTTCAGTTTATTTTAGAAGTCTGCAGACGTTAAAAAACAAACAGTCTTCTTCTTGCAGACTGCAGACTTTCGGTTCACCTCTTCTGCTGCAGATGCCTGCATATGTGGTCCGCAGACTGCAGACCTTTTACCTCTGCAAAAACAAACACCACCTTAGTTTCATATGTTTAGAACTTTTATTTTATTAACAATCTTAATGGTAATTTTTGATATTTTACAATTTCTTTTTATTATAAAATATTTTAGGAATTTCATTTTAAAATGTAGCACAAGACCTCCAAATCTATTGGAACGAGCTTGACATTACTGACAGGCTTAAATGCACCATTGCCCCATAAACTATATCGTCTTTACCTAGTTGCCCCTTAATTTTTCGGAACGTTTTGCCCCCCTAAAGTTTAAATCGTTACCTCATTTGCCTCAAACCGTTAACTCCATCAAAAAACACGCGGGTAAATTTCATATTTAGTCACTCAAAATCATCACTAAACTTATTTTCTATTTGAGCTACCCAACTTTTTTTCTTCAAAATCATCACTAAACTTAAGTTTTTGTTACATTTTAGTCACCCAATTTGATTCAATTTATTTTTAAAAATTTTAGTGTATGAGAATTCATCTATATTATATTTTTTTACTCAACACATAAATTTATTTTTCAATAATAAGTAATATTATACAATAATAATAAATAATATATTAAATTGTATGTAACACAAATAATATATAACGTAAATAATAGATCATAAATTGACAACAACAACAAAATTGAAACCAAAACAAAATTTAAGCATTAAAATAGTTATTAAAATTGCATCCAAATTCCAAAGAAATCCACCAAAAAAAGTTGGAATCGGGGCTTTTGCAAATGCTTTCCCTTAGGAAGGTCTAGGTTTTAAAATAATTAAAATAAAAGAGAAAATATTTGGAAAAAAAAGAAACAACTAAACCAGTAAAAATAAAAATACCTCCAAAGAATTTTTTTTAAAAAACCTTAAAGACGTTGATTGATGGTGATGTAGATAGTGCAAGCGACGGTGAAGGTCGAGGAAATCTGATAAAAAAATGATGAGAAAGAAATAAGAGGAAAACACTAGAAAAATATGTCAATTTTAAAATTTTAAAATATAATTAATATATTTTTAATTTCAAAATCAAATCTCATAACTTTAAAAAATTTGATTTTTATATTTTATACTCGTAATTTTTTTATAGTGTTGTTGATGATTATGTGAGATCGGCAAGAAAATAATTTGGGTGCATGAGATTAGGGTGATCAGTGTTTCTTCATGCGTTGTGCAATTCTCGTTGATGATATTTTAATTAAATTATTATTATTTCACTTAATAGAATTTTAATTACATATAATTTAATATGTTGTTTATTATTTATCTTATATATTACTTGTTTTAAATTTATGTGTCAAGTAAAAAAATATAATATAAATGAATTCTTATACATTAAAAATTTTAAAAATAAATTGAATCAAATTGGGTGACCAAAATGTAACAAAAACTTAAATTTAGTGATGATTTTGAATGAAAAAAGGTTGGGTAACTCAAACAGAATCGCATAAATAATTGAGTGACTAAATATGGAATTTACCCACATGTTTTTTGACAGAGTTAACGGTTTGAGGCAAATGAGGTAACGGTTTAAACTTTAGGGGGCAAAACGTTGCCAAAAATACTTTAAGAGACAACTTGATAAAAAGGGTATAGTTTAAGGGGGAATAGTGCATTTAAGTCTTACTGACAAGCTATCGCCAGATTAATTTTTCAACTATGCCATGGGTGTAATTGGGCTCATTGAACCATTGATATCAAAACAACGAAACAAGGAATAGAATAGTTTTGGGAATGGAAAAGAACATATACTTTTGAAGACAAAAAATGGCTACTTTGCTTTGCTTTTAAATAAAACGAAAGAACCTTTTGCTCATTCCCCATTACGAAGGCCTGATTATATAAAGCGAAGCAATAAACACAACGTTCATGCACTCAAAATCTCTCTAATAATTCACCATTTTCATTCGTCTCTTCAATCCAATGAAGAACGAAGAAAACACCGAGCCATGTTACGATGATTTCGAACCCTATTGCCAGTGGAGAAAGGAAGTCGGAGCTTCCATTATCCAAGAAATACACATTGTCGAAATCCAATTACAAGGTATGGACTGAAGGGAGACGGTTGAGACAGTAGCCCCTAAAACTTTCAAATTATCATATATTTTTTATATTTTTTTATTAATAATATGTTTTTGTCTCCCTCTAAAATTTAAAAATTTCTTCTAACATAAAATCATGAGACCTTCTCTGATTTTTTCCCCCAGGTTTCAAGGAGGAAGAGCTGAAGAACGAGATGAGATGGGACGGATGTCTATATATAAGTGGAGAACATCCGATGGGGAATAACAAAATAAAGCGATTCAACAAGAAGATTGATGTTTCAAAGTATGATATCAAAGGAATTGAAGCAAAGTTTGAAGATGGGAAACTTCATCTAAGGCTTCCATGTAAAAGCTCAACCTTTAGCCTCTTCACCAATGGGAGGGGTAACACAATTGGAGTTCTAAATTTACCCAAATTTCTCAAGTCTTCCATGGCTCTTGCTCTTCTCATCATTCTTGGGTTTTATATGTATAAATATTCTCAATGTACCTATTTCGGAAATTGATTCCAATTCCATGAAATTGTTCAAATAAAATAAAAAATTAATTAAAAATTACATTTGAAGTAATGAAACCCTAATTTCCTATTCGTTTCGTTTTACTTTTTATAATTTATTAAAGTATCAAAAACATTCTATAGGTCCCTAAATTAACAAATCATTCCACCAACAATTCGTTTTTGTTCATTGATATCTATTTTTACCTAAATAAATGAAGGGTAAAGTACACAAATGGTCCTCTGACTATATGACAATGCTTTGTTGAGTCCCTTAACTATTAAAAGCTACAAAATGGTCCTTTGACTATAGAGTGTTGATTTGTTCAGTCCCGCGACTATTGAAAGTTACAAAATGGTCACTCGACTATTCATATGTTTCAAACTCATCTTTTTCTGTTAAAAATTTGTTTGAGTTGGACATTAATCCGTTGACTAGGATATAATAAAATCTAATCTGATAATCTCAAACGACTATACAATTCAAACAGTCCTGCGATCAAATTTTATCATATCTCAATCAGTAGGTTAACGTCTAACTTACACGACCATCAAATTTTTAATTTAAAAGAATGAGTTTGGAACATATGAATAGTCGGATGACCATTTTATAACTTTTAATAGTCGGGGGAATCAACACCTCATAGTCGAAGGACCATTTTGTAATTTTTAATAATCAAGGGACTGAACAAAGCATTACCATATAGTTAAGGGATCATTTTTGTACTTTATCCATAAATGAAAATAAATAAGATTTGATGTTTTATTAAATGAATCGAATACAAATAAGATATATCCAATTCATTTATACTAATGAACATATTTGTTTATGTTAATTTAAAGCTCTTTTATTGTTTGATTATTATGTAATTAATATTGTTATCTTTTTAAAGAAAAATGGTATAAATATTGTTTTAATTCATAGGTTTATTATTATTATTTATGAATAATTGTTAATGTACATATTCATTTAACGTACATGGATACATTCATAATCATGGGATCTTAAACTTGAACACATGAAATAACACAATGAACGGCATTGCAGCCACTATCAAACTTGCCCCAATCTTCATTGCTGTTTTCCCATCTATCTTGAGCCTTGAAATAGACCATTCGTGGCGAGCCATTTTCGATATACCTGTAACACTCTCGCCGGCAACATCTCCGCTTTGGCGAATGCTTCTCTCTTGTTCTAGTTTCCCTTTGCCTTGAACCACCGTTGTTGCCACTTGCAAAGGAGTGATTTCCTTCGGTATTGTTATATAAAGACTGGTACTGAACCTTGCTCGGATTTCAGTTGGTTTGCAGTCTTTAGGAGTGGCGAATTCCTTGCAGAATCGGATCCATTTACTTCCTTCGAGGGGGCGTTCGCCGGAAATGGTTAGGACTCCGTTATTGCCGAAGTGAACTTTCAGCTGGTCTTTTCTGAAATCTGGTAAAATAGAATTGAAAATAATTTAACTGGATCGACGTCACACTGCATAACAAACAAAGCATTCTCATCTTGTTTTTTGCTTAGAAAATTATAAAACTGTTTTCAACTTTATGACTAAAGTAAAATATAAATTCCAAGTTTAACCAATTAGTTCATATAAACATCATTTGCAATTCCAATATTAAAGAACAAAAGACCATATATATATATATATATATTACCACCTTTGAGTTGAAACTCAATAATGTCTTGAGCTTCTCCTTCTTTGTATTGGCAATCAGGCTGAAAATCTATGTAAGAACGGGACATTTTCTGGGACTATATATTAAGGAACAATGGAAAGAAATGGTACTATTTGTTTATGAGTAAAATGATTAGAAGTAGTATTATATATGGAAATTAAAAAGAATCATTCTTTTTTTCAAATTCTAGTTTCCTACTTAACACGGATTCTCCTTTCTTAAAACTATGCGTATACGTTGCCCTCCCTTACTTCATCCCTTTTTATGCTTCACACGTTCTCTTCATATATATATATATATAAAAGTAGGATTAGGGACGAAGTCAAGCATGATTGGACTTTTTTCATTCATTCATCAAGGCGGAACTAGAATTAAACTATAAAAGTTGGGGTGGGTCTTGTCTCCAGTCATGGAGCCAAGATAAAATATTGGTAGGAGTTGAAATATTGAACTTTTTTTTAAAAAAAATATTATTACTTATTAGATATTTAAAGTCAAAATTCAGAAGAAAAAATACCTAAATTATCTAATATTTAAACTTATAATGGCCTAAATTATTATTAAACAAAAAATTTTGAGAATATGAGATTATCCTTCAATAGGTACTCACATTGCCTCAAATTTTATTACATATGTAAAATTGCATTCAATAAACCATCTCCTGGCCCAGTCCTCAAGCTTTTATTTCTCTGCAGAAGATAATAAATAATGTGAGTGAGCTTAAATAAGCTCAGTGAATGCCCTAAACTACAAAAAAATAATCACAATAACAAAGGTTAAAAGGAAGCATTCCACATACATTCATACCTACTATTTTGCATACTACATGCATCATATTAACTTACCAAAATGCAGATGGAATGTCATCTTACATTAAATTCATATTACACTTGCATCATGCATTCACTCGTGTTATTCTTTTTATGCGATAACTTATTATGCTTACTTAATTCATGCGACACAAATTAAACATTCATCATCATCAATGATTTATTAGAAATGTTTGTTCAACTTAGAACATAATCAATTTCACGTATATATGATAAATAAATATCCTTTTAACTCTTGTTTTGTGGACTCAAAGAGTCAAGCTCAATCACATATGTGTTGTATAAGAAATAACTCTACAACACATGTCCATCATCCAAAAAGTCAGTGGCTGAATTTGGTGATAGAGTTTAGGGGGTTAACTTAAATTTTAAAAAATTTAGAGGTTTAAATTAAAATTTTCAAAAATTTTGAAGGGTTCAATTTATAGTTATTTTTAAATTTTTGTGGTATATCTAAAATTTTTAAAAGTTTTGAGAGGCTTTATGAGAATTTTTAAAAATCATGGGTGGTTTTAATTAAGAATATTCTAAGAATTTAAAAATTAATGAGTTTCTAAAAATTGTGGGGGCCAAATTAAATATTTGAAATTTTTTAAGTCTAAACTATAATATTTAAAATTTTAGGGAAAGCCATAACCCCATTAGTCTCCATTATCTTCCGCCTTTGAAAAAAAAAAAACAAAGCTCAAATAATATCAGCATCTTCTTATCTCTGCAACTATTCCAGAAATCTAAGCACCTCAATAAAATTAAAACAATGAGTCTACCCAATTCTAAAGCATGTCGATACAAATACGAAAGTTTCAAAAGGAATAGTAAGTCAATAAATCCGTAATATCTTATGCAAAATTTGTATTGATGCACACTATCACTACAGCAAAACAGTTTTTTAGCGGTATTTTTCAGTCATATAACGGCATTTTCAGTCATTTAGCGGCGTTTTTATGTGCCGCTAAAAATTCTTGTGGTGAAACAAAAAAAACCGCCAAAAGCGCCGTTAAAACCAACACCGCAAAAGGTAGCGGCATTTTTCATTCACAGACGCCACAAAATATAATCTTTAGCGGTGGTTTTTCCATAAACACCGCTATATATCTTTTCTTTTGTGGCATTTGTAAAAAATGCCACAAAATGTTCTAACATATAATGGTGTTTGTTCCCAAAAATATCGGTAAAGGTAATGACATATAACGGTGTTTGTGAATGTAAAACGTCTTTATTGACTATGGCTATAGTAGCATTTTCTGTATAAACACCGCAAAAGATCTAAAACTTTAGTGGCGTTTATTTCTAAAACGTCGGTATTGAGTATGTCTTTACCGCCGCTAATTAACACTGATTTTCCAGATGTTGTTTTCTGCTCTTTTGTTATCCAAATTTAAATTTTTAACCTGTAGCATTATTCAAACTTGAAATCCATAACAACCAACTTGAACTCCATAATAATAAATCAAAGTTTACATTAATGTAAAATATAATGTAGTTCAACCTTTGTTAACTAGAATAAACAAAGCATATATCTAAAATAACACCTAAGATGGTGGACTCTGGGGTTGATTATTTTGTATCATCTGCATCATAACTTGAAGTCGATTCTCAAAGTCTTCACATTTTTCTGATAAGCTACTTCTCTCTGCTTCCCTCACTTCATTTTCAACTTTCATTTGAGCAACTTTTTGATCCATTTCAGCTAACTGTTGTTTTAAACGGCTAACTTCTAATTGGGAAGACTGACTTTGTGATGATATGTACTGAGATGAACTGGATCCAAAATATTTTGTTAAAGTAACGAATGATCCTTGACAGCGAACTAGGCCATATCTTTCAGGACCCTAAACTTCATTAATAACTTGATTTTCGATGTCATCTTCATTAACAATATCATGACTTGAAGTCGTAGCTTTATACTTCACCCTTTTATCCCTCAATTTCTCCTAATAATCAATTCAATAATTATTTTAAATAAGAATGTAATACAATAGATATAAATATAACATAATTCAAATATCGTGTTCAATAAATGTACCATAATTTCTACAGTTTCATCAGTCATAGGAGTGTCATTCTTTTTGCATGTGTCATGTTAAAGAGCTTTGTTCGTCCAACTTTAAAACCAGACGTATTTTCCTAAAATGTAGAATAAAAATTAAGTCTTGCAAAAAATTAATTAATTAATAATATAAATAATTTTCGTTACTATGTGCTACCAAATGTAAATCACTATGTGAATAATCAATAATACCTCACCATTAGCTATACAAGCAAAGCTCTTCGATCCAGCTGTGTGAGTAAACCTTTGTTGTTGTTTTCTAGCAAGACCAACATGCTCTCGGTCCTACAATTTTAAATTTGTACTAATAAAGTCAATATTATAATGACATTAGATTATTTTTGAAAAATACATCATACATTTCATTTCTTTGAACTCCAAAACCTGACTGCATCTTCCCATTAATACCTGACCATTCCAGGTGGGACAGTTTGCAGCTTCTCTTCAAGGCTGAGATCATTCTTAAAGTATTTCCTTTTTAAAGAACTCTTGTGGTCTCTTCATCTCTTCCCTAACGCTTTTTTCAAATAATCGTCTGAGACCTCTAGAGAAAATTTCTCCTACAAATAACATAAGTGTTCAAAGTAAATATAAATTACTATTGAATTGTTATTGGATTATATATTAAAATGACATTATTACCTTAACAAAATCCAAAGCTTGATTTTTGTTACTATTTGACATTTCACTCTATTACTCATAATTTATCGGTAAAATATTAGCATAGTGTGCAACCATGCCTAAGTAACCGGATAGAAGACGTGCTTCTGGGCCAATAGGTTGACCGACACTGTTTCTTGAAACTTTCACACGGTTCCCAAGAGGAAGTTGGTATAATTCCTTCAATGTTGTTCGTCCTCTAGTCTTGTGTGTTTAACCATTTTTCAACTATATAAGAAATAATTCAATGTAAGTTTTCAAAATGAACCAGCAATTAAAGAAAGTGTCGAACATTACCTTCAATTTCTATAGCTACTTCAACAGTAATCGGAACTTCCGAAGAGCCAACACCAGTCAATTCCTCATCATTTGTTTCTTCCTCCTCTTGAGAAGCTCGAACAATCTGCAAATCACTTAATTTTCTCCTAGGCGTGATATCTGTAATAAACAAATAACAATTTTAGTGAAAATATTACTATTAATGAATATATTGAAGGACAACATGTTATATGTTATAATATTATAAATTACTAAATTAAGATATAAAATCTTACTACATTGTTATGTCATATTAATTCTCATAAATATCTTAATTCATCTCTTCTCGAACCCATTGAAATTGTGTAGTATTAGTGATAGTTTCATCTAAGTTTTGTGCTACAAAAGGTAAAGCTTCTGATCTTGTTTCAGTGTCATCTCTACTTTCATCCCCGATGTCTATCAAGTCTCTGGGGGCATTATCCCTAGTCATTTAATACACATAAGTCATTTAATACACATAAGTCATTTAACACCTCTCTATAGGATACATCAATCGATAAAAAAACTAGTCCACCAACTTTTGCTTCGTGAGGAAGATGAATTAGCAGGTGCACCATAATTGTGAAGAATGAAGCTGAAAATATCTTCTCCAAGTTGCATAAAGTCAAGGCGGCTCAATCTTATAGTTTCTCAAGTTCTTCAACCATCAGAACTTTCTCACACATAGCTTTCATTATATTAGAAAGTTCAATGATACAAAACGTCACCTTACTCGACATACAACCGCGTAAAGCTACTGGCAGTAAATCTTGCATCAATATGTGATAATCATCTGACTTTAAAGAATAAAGTCTTCGATCTTTAACACTAACACATCGAGATATATTTGATGCATACCCATCTGGGACCTTTATATCCTTCAACACTGTGCAAAACACTTCTTTTTCTTTCTTTGACATCGCAAAAATAGAAGGTGGTAAGAAATATTTTCCATTAGGATGTAACTGCGGATGAAGATCATGCCAAATTTCGATGTCGACTAAGTCAAGTCCATTTCAATATTCGTCGCTTACCCTTGATAAATCCATCCAACTCTTATCCATTTCGTATTTCTAGAACATCAATTTCAAATGTTATTTTATCTATATACATAAAGGAATAAAAAAGTTATTTTACCTATTTGTTATAACTTCATAATACTACAAGACAAATTTATGTTGCATTTTTCAATATTCATGTAAAGAGTTAGAAGTTATGATTAATAAATGTATAACTGATTTTTTTTAGTAAATAAAGTTTTATTT